AATGAGAAACCTTTTTTTTTTTTTTTTTTTTTTTTAAATCAGGCACTTTTAGAGGCTTTAATTAGTTATGGGATGCAGGCATGGTATGGCAGTCTTTCTGTTCAGTCAAAATCTCAGATCACTTCCATAGTAGGGACAGCAATGAAAGTCATACGAAAAAAAAGAATACAAGTCTCTCCAGTCCATCCATGAATGCACCTTGCTCAGAGGAGCGCAGAAAATAGTGGCAGACCCATCCCAAGTCCTTCACTCTGAGTACCAGCTGCTATCCTCTGGCAGAAGACAGAGAGTGCCAAGGTGCAAATTAAATCGCTTCAAAAAATTTGTTTCAATAAAGACTTGAAATAGCGAGGTTTTGGGAACTGTGCAATTCTTTAAGACTGACTAACTATATTGAAATGTGCAAAAACAACGAGGCTGTGCACAGTTTGTGGGAGTTTTAATTAATTATGAGGTTGCGCAATATCCGTGGGACTATGCAATAACTGCAGGCTGGTTATGGGACTGTGCAAAAACTGTGGGATTGTACAAGGGTTTGTGAAATAACAGAATTATGCAACAATAATGGGACTGTATAATAACTGTGGGACTGTGCAGTAATTATGGGGTTGCGAATAAATTGCGGGACTGTGTACCAATTATGGGGTTGTGCAACAGCTGTGGAGTTGTGTAACAATAACGGGGCTGTAGAATCACCGCAGGGCTCAGCAATAGGGTGGCTCTGTAAGCTGGCAGGCTGTGATACATTATGATATGTTGTTTTAACTCAGATGATGACACTAGTATAGTGTATGCGACATATGTATGTGAATGTGCGATTGAATATGCTGTGTGTACAGTTGTGTATGTTCTGACTCAAAGCACAGAGTCCGAGAAACATTTCTTATCTCTTCTTATTCCCTTTTGGTGTCCTGCAGTAAGTTAGTAAACTTATCCTCAGCACTTATCCTCAATACAAGCACTTGAACAATGAATTCACTAAAGTATTTTAGTTAGCCAACTACCCAGGTGTTTAATAGCCTCAACTAATAAAGGATCTCATGTATTTGTATTATTTCTGTGCCTATTAGGTTGTTGTTGTTCCTCTTTTGGCTGCTCTGATTAGGGGTCGCCACAGTGGATCATTGGTCCGCGTATTTGATTCGTCACAGTTTTTACGCCGGATGCCCTTCCTGACGCAACCCTTCCCAATTTTATCCGGGCTTGGGACCGGCACCGAGACCGCACTGTTGCACGCAACCCCAGTGGCTGGGCTTGGTTCCCTGGCTGGGAATCGAACTCGTGTCGCAGAGGTGAAAGCGCTGTGGCCTAACCACTAATCCTCCAGTAGACCCTCTGTGCCTATTAGGTATCATTAAAAAAATTATAATAATAAAAAAATATATATATCACCTTTGATTTGGTGGTGCATTCTGTGCAATTACAGGTAAAGAAGTATGAATCCTTCAGCCTCTCATTCCTGTCCTCAGTGGAATACAGGAGGTCAATGTAACTGTTGAAAATCTGTTAGGAAAGAGTGGGTTATTGTAGACATCCAGCACAACACTGTAGCTGAAATATATCCATTACTTTAGACACTAACAAACTTTTAGTGCTTAAACCTTACTTATACTATAACACAATTAATTTTCTGTTCTCATTCTCACCTCCTCTCCAGGGCTGATTTTCTGAATAGCACGGACCTCTGCTTCTGTACCTTTATAAGTCACGATCACATTTGGATTACAGCTGTGGTTCATCAAAGCAACGCTGCAATACAAGAAGATATCAGTGAAAAAACAGTCAATATGAACCAAAAAAAAAAAAAAACAAACAAACAAAAAAAAAAACATTTAAATACTAATATTAATAGGTTGTGAGGAAGATCATAACATCCTGCTCACTCTGGAAAGACTGCAGAGCCCAAATGAGACAACTCCTCATCTTCAATGGTAAAACCATTACAGTTCACCTGTAACAAAGAGTAAAATGTAAAAAAAAGTCAAATAAAACACACAGTTTAGGCTACAGATATTGTGCAAAATGTAACCCAGCATGAGCACAGAATTTCAAGCAATAGAGAGCTCAGAGCTGCGGTTCTGACTGATGACTGATTTTTCCTTTTAAATAGGCTAGTCACTAACAGTATATGTATGTCCATCATTAATAACCAGTACAGTTCTACTCTTTGATAGTATACACATTTACGGCATTTGGAAGACGTCCTTTTCCGGAATGACTCACAGAAGTGCACTGTAGTCTCCCTCATATACTAGGACAGTTAGAATAGGGTCTAAGAATACTATCAAACCCTGTTAGAGAGGAGTTAATACAGTGAGATGGTGCAGCAACATAAACAGTACGAGTTTTTTCCCCCCCCCCAATCAGCTGAACTAAACAGCACAAGGGTGTCTTCTGTGCAGAGAAATGCACTTAACCTTGGGGTAGATCTGAACAAACAACCATCGTTCTTTCCTCCTACTGCTATCCTGACTCAGGTATGTAGGCTTCTCCTTTAAAACATCAGAACGATCTGGCCATTTCTTTCCAGAAGTGACTCAGGTGTTTCTTTAGTCCCTGGTCATCTTGAGACTGGATTACTGCAACTCACACCTGGCAGGTCTTCCTCTGTGTGCCTTCGGACCCCTGCAACTAATCCAGAATGCAGCTGCAAAAAGACTTATTTGCAATCTCATCATCCCTTTGCTGTGTTGCTTCCGATGGTTTCCTGTAGCTGCCTGCATCAGATGTAAAGCAGATGTGATGCTTGCCTACGAAAACAGACAAGGCTCCTCCTACCTGAAGGCACTCATTAAAACTCCGCTCTGCGGAGTCTGAAGATACAAGGAAGACGTGCATCAAAACACTTCTCTGTACTGGCACCCAGGTGACCATGAACGTCCCGACTGTCTGAACAGCTGGCTGTCTTCAAACAAAGACTGAAAACCTACCTCTTCACTAAGCACTTCAGTCAGCAAGAATTAAAAATACTTCAACCTGTACTGTTTTTGCTGCTGCACTAACTCCTCACTCACAGGGTTAGCTTGATGTAAATGCATTGAAGTAGCCTTGCTGTCAATAACAGGCTCAGATGAAAACGGGGTGAGCCTTTGCCCTCGTCAGAGCAAGTGAAATGTGTTAATACGAAACGTGTGCTCTCTATGGAGATGATTCTGTGCCAGAGCGAAAAGAATCCTGTGATAAACCGTGGAACACAATACCCGAATGGTACTGCTTTTCCTTAGGCACATGCAGGAAATGTTCCACATTGAAAAGTGAAACCATTATTGCATTACTCTTGTTCAGTGAAAACAGGCAGCAGGGTATTGCTTAAAGAAACAAGTGGTGAATTTGTCAAAAGTCCACTTTCATCAGTGAGTGCAAGTCTTGCCACATAAAAAAAAAAAAAAAATGACTGTCCAATCTCAGCCCCAATCAGGCCTGAAAGTGTTTACTGGGTGGTGGATGCCCTGCATGCACCATAAGAGCAAGAAGGAGTTTATGTTCATGTGAGCTGTGATCTTTTATTAGGATGATTACTTCATTTCTGTCGTTTTCACAAATTTTGCAATGCTGCACCAATGTGGAAAGTGCCACCTACGGTATATACTACACAAAGCAGTCAAACATGAAATTAAAAAAACGTAATTAAGAAACTAATTTTGGAGATCCCAAAAGAAAAAAAAAACAACCACCACCACCAACTAAACAAAAACCTTGTCTTTTGTGTTTACTTTCAATTTACAATACCCCCCCAAGCTAAAAAAATAGGGTTTTAGCTTGATGGTATTCATGGTCCCTGATGTTACTTGGACACCTAATGAAGAAAAATGATTTTTTTTAATGGCACAAAGTTCACTTTGACATTAAAATATCTGTGTGTCCCACCCATGTATAACCTACACAGAAATGCACATAGGTATTATATGCCTCAACCTGCATGAAACTATCCATTTGATAGTACTTGTGGAATTTTATGATGATAACTACTGGTAATACACAGTTCACATATGAACACAGGGTGAAAATCTGCTGAAAACCGTTAACCAGGAAATTATATAAAAGCAGATTAATTATCAGGATGATAGTTGTGGTGGGGGAGAAAGGAACAGGCAGACTCATAGGGTTGTATTAATGTGATAGCCCACACGCTAACGGTCAGTTTTTAAGGAGTGGGGCTGATTATTTTTGCTCCACAGTCACTTTGGTAAGCACAGTGAGGTTTTTCATCTAATAGTGGATACCATACCAGCGTTTCTTGTAACTTGACAGAAAAATGCTCAATGTGTCAATATACTTAGCAAAAAATGTTCCATCATTGACGTAACATCGATCAAAATAAAACAAACATACAAAATCTAGTACATTGTTTACTTGTGATTAAAAGTCATTGTTCTTACCAATTGAAGTACACTTGAAGTATTCATAATTACAAATGGTGTTCTGAATGGTTTTGTAAACATTTACACTGCCCTCCAAAAGTTTGGAAACGCCTGAACAAAATAGGGTTTTTGGGCAATATCAGCATAAATCCTCTTTAGTTAGTGACCATTTTGCATTGATAATAAGGGACAACACAAACTATGAAAACATATTTTATTAAATAAAAAGTTTATGAACATAAACATGAACATAACATAGAGAAATACTCAAATTTTGGATTCATCAAAGAAATCCCCATTAGCAGCTATTACAGCTCTACATACTCTAGGCATCCGAGCCGGTGTCTTGTCTATCATGGAGTGGCCTGCCCAATCACCTGACCTTAACCCCATTGAGCTGCTATGGGAGGAACTGGCCCGTGATGTCCGTAAGAAGTGTCCAACCAGTGTGAATCATCTTTGGGCAATCCTCCAGGAGGCTTGGAGTAATATATCAAGTCAATGTTTGAATAAACTGACTGCTCGGATGCCTAGTGTTGTCCCTTATTATCAATGCAAAATGGT